AGTGGATTGAATGGGGCAAGGAGAAGCAGAGGTGCTTGCTGGATTGTTGAAAGAAAGTAAAGGTGTACCTGATATTGGCGGCGCCGCTGAGGAAGGAACGAAGAGATACCTTTGAGCACCCGTAGACAATGGCTGAGGTAGTTCAAGACAATGTGGCGCTGTTGGGATATCATTGTGCATCTCTGTTGAAGGAGAAAAATCATCCTAAAGACAATGGCTGAGGTAGTTCAAGACAATGTGGCGCTGTTGGGATATCATTGTGCATCTCTGTTGAAGGAGAAAAGTCATCCCAAGAAATTTTCAAATGCTGATTTTTATATTTAGAAAAAATATTGGTAAAAGGGTAACTAGTTTCAAAAAATACTACATCTCTAGAAAGATAAACTTTGGAGGTGGTCGGGTCAAAGCATTGATGACAATAATATTTATTTGAAAATCCCAAATAGACACAGGGCTTTGATTTCGAATCAAGCTTATGTTGTGCATATGGTTTTAACCATGGATAGCATAAACAACCAAAAAATTTGACGTTGTCATAATTTGGTGATTCTTGAAATAAAAGCTCGTATGGACACTTGTCTTTTAAATTTGGGGTTGTCATTCTGTTAATGAGAAAAACAGCTTGATGACATGCAAAACTCCAAAAGGTGGATGGTAAAGAGGCTTGATGCATTAGAGTTTTTGCAGTCTCGACAACATGGCGATGTCGTCTTTCAACTACAGCAACTCTTTGTGGCGTATAAGGTGGGGAAATTAAGTGTTCAATGCCCTGAGATTTCAAATAAGAAGTTAAACTCTGAAATTCACCTCCTCCGTCGGTATAAAAAGATAATATTTTTGTTTGAAACCGACGTTCAAGCAATGGATGTAGTGTTTTGAAAACATCTAAAACCTCGTGTTTGGACTGAATCGTGTGGAGCCACATGTATTTTGAAAACTGATCCACGAACAAAACATAATATCTTTTCCTATCGACGGATAAAATTGGTGACGGGCCCCACAAATCACTGTAAATAATTTGGAGAGGCATGTGACTCTGTAAAGAATTTGTAGAAAAAGATTGCCTGTGACTTTTATTTGATTGACATGAATTACAAATGGAAAGAGAGTCTTGCTTAACAGGAATGGAAAATTTATTTAAAAACAAATCTAAAGTACGACGTGTTGGATGCCCCAAACGCCGATGCCACAGATCTAAAGATGCAGCCACATTGCATTGAGGTTGAGAAGAAGAAGAAAGATTGTCTAGCGGCCACTCATAGAGGCGTCCTTTACTCCACCCTTGAATTAACGGCGCCCCCGTACTCAGATCCTTCACAAGATAAGAGAATGGAAAGAATTCAATAGATGTATTATTGTCACGACAGAATTGAGAAACTGAAATCAAGTTACTGGAAATGGAAGGGGAGCAAAGTATATTGGATAAGTGAAAGCTAGAATCAGATGCAGATAAATCAATGTTACCAGTGTGAGAAATTGGTATGGTGTTACCATTTCCCATAGTGATTTCCTCTGGACCATTGTAGTCAGCAACGTTGTTGAGACCGTGGGCATCTGATGCAACATGATGTGATGCGCCTGAATCGACTATCCATGGGACAAATTGCTGCATTTGTTATCCAGCAAAGTTGGCCCGTGCCTGAAAATGATTATGAGACTGAGAGCGACAAACACGCGCAGAGTGTCCAGGTCGGTCACATAACTGACACACTAAGGAGACTTCTTGCGAATTAGTGCGACGATTGCGCCCTGACTGAGAATGTTGCTGGTAGTTGTTTGAATGCCTATTATTGTTGATGGTGTTGGTCCGTGTTTGAGAGCTGGACTTTTGAGCAACAACAGCAGTAATCAGAGTGGATTGAGGTGGAGCATTGTGTTTGAGGAAAAGCTCGTGATCGCTAAGCTTTTCAAACAGTTCAGCATATGAAATTGGGGTGTCACGTGCTCGAATTGCTGCAGAGATTTCGCGGTATTCTGGTCCAAGACCAGTGAGAGTCTTGACAATGAGTTCAGCATTGGTGACAGGAGCTCCAGCAGTCGCAAGCTCATCACAGAGAGATCGAACTTGGTTGAGATAGTCTGTT